TTTAAACAGGGATTGTTGACATTTAGGGATGTGGCCATAGAATTCTCACAGGAGGAATGGGACTGTCTGGACCCTGTTCAAAGGGCTCTCTACTGGGATGTGACGTTGGAGAACTACAGCAACCTGGTCTCCCTTGGTGAGAATAACTTCCCTCCAGAAGTCAGGCTCTGCCCTTGTATATCTTTGCACTTCCCCTGAGAGTCTCTTGGAACCGCCTGCTCTGCTGGATAGACTTGGAAATCTCTGTTCTTATAGCAGAGATTGAAGCTGGTTCAGGAATGAGAAGGTTCATAAGATGGCATGGAACTTTAGCCTTCCCCTTTCTTCAGATAAGGAGCTCTGGTGGTGTAGTGGATAAGGTACATGGCTGCTAACCAGAAGGTCAGCATTTCAAACCCACTAGCCACTCTGCAGAACGAAGATGGGCAGTCTACTTCTGTAAAGATTTATAGCCTCTGAAATCCAATGGGGGTCACTATGAGTCAGAACCGACTCAATGGCAGTGACTTTGGTTTTTCCTTCAGATAGGAGCTCTGGTGGTATAGTGATTAAGGCATTTGGCTGCTAATCAGAAGATTGGTGATTCAAGCCCCCCAGCCTTCCATAGAAGAAAGATGAGGCAGTCTGCTTCCGTAAAGATTTACAGCCTTGGAAAGCCAGTGAGGGTCACTGTGAGTTGTAATTGACTCGATGGCAGTGAGTTTCGTTTGGTTTGGCTTCTTCAGATGATCTGCCAGTTTCACTCTAGGTCACTGCTGTTTCCATGTCTTGAGCATGGCCAACTCTCAATATATTCAGTTGTCTGGCTTTACTTCCATGCTTTTGATTGAATAGTTCTTGGAAGAGAGCTAAAGAGTTACGTATTTAGTATATTCCCTAAGTATTCTAAGCAGGCAGCCAGTGGGTGGATGTTTGGAATACTTTCCTAGAGACATCTGTGATGTTCTAAGCTGAGTAAATTGCTTGGATTGTTTTCTGCAAAAGCTGCAGCATGTTATGTTCCTTTTTTCTGATGAGCAGGAATCTCTCCTGAGATGAATGTTATCTCCATTTTGAAGAAAGGAACAGAGTCCTGGACAGTGGACAAAACAACGAAACTAACAAAAAATCCAGGTAGGTGGGAACGTGTCAAGATGTGAACATAAGTGTCTTAGTATCTTAGAGCTGCTATAACAGAAATACCTCAGGTGGGTGGCTTTAATGATCAGAAATATATTTTCTTACAGTTTACTTTGCTAGACGTTCAAATTTAGGGCACCAACTGTAGGGGAAGACTTTGTTGGCTGTAGGCAAATGTCATTGCCTCTTTTCAGCTTCTGTTCATAGATCCTTGGTGATCCTTATATGGCTTGCATCTTCCCTCCTGTGTGTCCTGTCTTTCCTCTGAGCCTGACACATTCATTTAAATCTCAAGAAGTGATTGACTTAAGGCACACTGATGTGGCCTCATTAACATAACAAAGATCCCTATTCCCCAGTGGGATTATATCCACAGTATAAAGGTAAAGTTTTATAACATATAATTTTGGGGAAACAATTCAATCTATAACATTAGGTAACAGGTCATATGGTTAGAGAAGAAACCACACCATCACATATGTTGGGGAGAAATTCTCCCCTAATGGGAAAACAGCTCTTGTGAGCTCTCAATGGAAATTTTTCTTCCCGATTCTCCCGTGCACCCCACATGCCACTCTCTTCAGAAGTAAAAGTGCATCCTCCAGTGGGGGTGTAGCTCAAGCAGAGGCAAAGGCATGACCTACAACATACCATTTTCTAGTCACTATGATATCTTCAGTGCTATGGTTTTGATAGGGACACTGAGGGCTGTTGCAAAGGGGTGTTTTCTCCTACTGTACTTGATTTCATGTGATCCTCAGTTCTCTGTTCATAGCTGAGGCCTCTTTGTCCTGAAGCATCTATCCAGATTCTGTGCTCATTGGAGACCTTCTTAGGAGATGGCACAGCACTGCTGTCTCTTCCATTGCAGATGAGGTCCCAGGAAATTTCATGACTTTGCCCAGACCTTGAACTGACAGATCCCTTCAGCAGACCACAAATCATTTGATTTGCATAATAGCCCAGCCTCTTGAAAGAATGTGGCCACCCATTGCACTTCAAGGTATCTCTGGTTTTTGTGGAATCTCACGGTGTCTCTCAAGAGCAGTGTGGCAGCATTGATCAAATACACCCACTTCTCACTTACAACATAATTAGGCTCCAAAGAACAGGTCATAATGCAAAAATCAGCATTATACATGAATGGAAGGTGACTACATTATTACATAACTGCCAAACCCCTTAGACTCATGGCCAAGCCAAGTTGATACATAACCTTGACCATCACTGCAACCATTAGTCTCACTTTGCACTGTGGTGTTTGTGGCTACCAGATGTATGTCATTAATGCACAAAATCATCAGATAGTAGATTTTTTACTATTACGATGAAAAAGGAATGTCAGTTAATGAGATCGTCAATAAGTGAGGAGTATGTGTATCATACTAGTGATCATCCCCTTTGAGACACCAGTCACAAGGTGGTATCTGAATAAAAATGGAACTAAAGCTGATTCCCAAAATGTGAATATGAAGATAACTCACATCCCTACTGATCCACTTCTCAAATCATTTCTGACACCAGCCCATGTGGTCTTTTTCTCTCTGCCACTTGGGTGGACAATTGGTGTCAAAATTGGTTAAAAAAGAGTTAAAGGGTGGAGGCATATCTGACCTCCACCTCAGTAATCGGCTTTGGGTTGATAAAAGTCGTGATTGTCCTTTCCTCTTGTGAAGTTAGAGAAGCTCAGGCAGTGCTGCCACCCCACCATTTCTGCCATTGCCTTACCTTGGAATGGGCACTAATGTGCACCTGGTCCGCTCCGTTGACGTAGCCAGTAAGTATATCAAGCACCGCATCTGCTTGCCGCAGCATCCTGACTGGCATTCCATCAGTTCCCAGAGCCTTGGTTTTTCACCCGTGCTTTCAGTGCAGCTTGTTTTCCCTTCACCAACAGCGGTTCGTGCTCATATGCTGCCTCCAGAAATGGTTGAATGTTCACCAATCCTTTTTGCTACATCGACTCTCTGTATTGCTGCTTTTTTTTTTTGATGCTTTCTATATCAATTGTTTGCCTATAGAATTCTTTTGTAATACAATTTGAGGCATGAATTTTCTCTTCAGTTCTTTCAGCTTAAAAACTGCCAATTGTCTTCTTCCCTTTCGGTTTTCTAACTCAAGGTCTTGACATATTTCATAATACTTTACCTTGTCTTCTTGAGTCTCTTTTTGAAATACTCTGTTCTCTTCTTTCACTTCATTATTTCTTCTGTTCACTTGCTATTCTGTTCTTAAGAGAAAATTTCAGAGTCTTGTCTAGCATGCATTTTAGTCTTTTCTTTCCTATATTTTCAATGATTGTTAATTTTTTTCATGTGTGATGCCTTTCTTATACTGCAACTCTTTGATCATCTATCATTTATATTCATTGTGTCAGTCTTCTTGAGATGGTCTCTAGATTTATGTGGGATTTATTCAGGGTTGTGCTTTGGCTTTCATGCAGTAGCTTTGATTTTCTTTGGCTTCAACTTGCCAAAGAAACTTTGACTCTTCCTCAGTCAGTGCCTGACTTAGTTCTGACTATAATATTGACCTTCTTTCATAATGTCCTGTGTAATATCTAGTGAGATCCATGTGCATGGTTGTCTATCCTGTTGTTAGAAAAAAAGTGAACTAATAATTCTTTTCACTGAAATCTATCGTGCTATCTCTGTCATCATTCCTTTCACCCAGGACATAATTCCCAACTACAGTTTCTTCTTTGTTTCCAACTCTTGCATTCCAATCACCAGTACTCATCCACACGTCTTGATTGCACATTGGTTAAATTGCAATGGTTTGTAAGCATCTTCAATTTGTTCACCTTTGTCATTTGTACTTGATACATAAATTTGAATAATAGTCATATTCAGTCCTCTTCCTTAGAGGTGTATGGGTATTAACCTATCACTGACAGTGTTGTACTTCATGAGAGATATTAAAATGTTCTTTTTGACAATTAGCGCAATGCCATTTCTCCTTAGTTATTCATTCGTGACATAGACCATATCATTGTCAGAATCAAAATGGCCAATACTGGTCCATTTCCATGCAATAATGCCTAGGATAGCATTCTTCAACAGTTCCATTTCATTGTTGACAACTTTTAGTGTTTCTTGATCCATACTTCGTACATTCAACATTCCAGTTAGTAACATATGTTGGCAGCTGTTCGTCTTATTTTGAGTAGTGCTACACAAGGAAATGAAGGTTCTTAGGCTCTATCCTATCTGTGTCATTAGGTCAAGTCTACTTTTGGGAGCTGTGTCTTTCCTCGTCATAGTTTTAAGTGTTTTCTAACCCGAATGGATCATCTTCCAGCACTCTTAACAGTATTCTATTGTTATCCATAAGATTTTCATCAGCTAACTTTTTAGAAATAGATCACTAAGCTTTTCTTCTAGTCTGTTTTAGTCTCGAAGTTATTCTGAATCCAGTCTACCTTGGGTGACCCTGCTGGTATTTTAAATACAGGTAGCATAGCTTCCACCAACCTAGCAACACACAGTCCACCACAGATGCCACCAGCTGTCTGTGTCTCTTCTGGCTTACATTCTTTGCATAGCATGAGTGGTATAGTCATGTGTACTCAAAACTCAACTTTCCTGAAAATGATACGAATTACATGTAATCATCCTTTCTTTATTGAGGAATCCTATTAAATTTGTGTTTCTAAAAGTTTGAAGACCGTAGTGGAGAAGTTTATAATATAGCTATTTGTGCTGGTGTGAAATTATGTTTTGGGATATAAAATATTTTTCAACTGTAATTAATAGGAAGTTTATGGTTCTTTATATTTTTAGATGTCTTTTCTACATGTGCAATCAAGGAATTATCAGCAAAAGAGCTCATTGATAAGGGAGAATTATTCCAGAGAATAATGGTGGAAAGAAATGAAAATCATGGCGTAGAGGAGTTCCACTTCATGCAAGCCAGGGAAAATGTGCATGAGTTTGAGAGTCAGTGGAGAGAAAATGAAAGAAGCAACAACAGAGTGGCTGTGGCTCATAACACAATTTTCAGTAGTAGAAGAGATCAACATGTTAAAAGAGATGCAAGAAATAAGTATATGACATATTTTAAAAACACGACCAAATTAAAGTTTCAGTCCCATGTGGCTGAGATGCAGACATTTCACACTGGAGAGAAAATGTATGAATGTCTTCAAGTGGAAACATCTGTCAACAATGAATCTTCAATTCCATCTCTTCAAAGAATTCCTCCAAGTATCCAAAGCAACATTTCTAATGAATGTGAGGAAGTTTTCATGCATCCTTCATTGTTTATGCAACACCAGAAAACCCACAGCAGAGAAAAACCTTACAAATGTAATGAATGTGGGAAAACCTTTAACTGGAGCTCAAACTTCACTAAACATCAGAGAATCCATACTGGGGAGAAACCATATAAATGTAATATATGTAGCAAAGTGTTTAGTCAGCGTTCAAGCCTTAAAAGTCACCAGATAATTCATAGTAGAGAGAAACCTTACCAATGTATTGAATGTGGTAAGGCATTTTCTGGAAGGTCAACACTTGTGGAACATCAGCGAACTCATAGTGGAGAGAAACCTTACATATGTAATGAATGTGGTAAGGCTTTTACCCGAAAATCAGGTCTTTTGAAACATCAGCAAATTCATACTGGAGAGAAACCTTACAAATGTAATGAGTGTGGCAGGGCTTTTAGCACTCCATCAAACCTTTGGAATCATAAGAAAATTCATACTGGAGAGGAAAAGTACAGGTGCAATGAGTGTGGAAAAGCGTTTAAGTGGGGCTCAAATCTCACTAGACATCAGAGAATCCATGCTATAGGAAAACCATATAAATGTGATATGTGTAACAAGAGCTTCAGTCATCCTGCAAGCCTCAGAACTCATCAGAGATGTCATACAGGAGAAAGACCTTTCAAATGCATTGAATGTGATAAAGCTTTTACCCAGAAATCAGGTCTTGTGGAACATCAGCGAATTCATAGTAGAGAGAAGCCTTATAAGTGCAATGAATGTGGTAAGGCTTTTAGCAGTCGATCGGTTTTTCGGAAACATAAAATAATTCATACTGGAGAGAGTCCTTACAAATGTATTGAATGTGGTAAGGCTTTTTCTGAAAGATTAAGACTTGTGGAACATCAGCGGATTCATAGTGGAGAGAAACCTTACAAATGTAATGAGTGTGGTAAGGCTTTTACCCGAAAATCTGGTGTCTTGGAACATCAACAAATTCACAGTGGAGAGAAACCTTACAAATGTAAGGACTGTGGTAAGGCGTTTACCCGGAAATCAGGTCTTTTGAAACATCAGCGTATTCATAGTGGAGAGAAACTTTACAAAAGTAATGAATGTGGCAGGGTTTTTTATAGTCCATCAATCCTTTGGGAACATAATCAAATTTATGCTGGAGATTTCGGCCAAACAATAGGACTATAAAGTAAGGGAGGAATGTACTTCTCAGATGCAAGACCAGAAGGGCTAGCATTTGCCCAAAAACAAAGCTTAGAAGGCAGGAAGGAGCAGGAGTGAAGGGCAAATGGAAACAGAGGATGCAGGGAGGAAGTGCAAAGAGTGCTGTTACACTGAGGGAATTGCAACCAATGTCACAGGACAAAATATGTTTAAATTGTTCAATGGAAAACTAATTTACTCCATAAACTTCCACCCAAATTGCAATTAAAAGTGAAAATAAAGTCATACTGGAGAGTAAAAGTATAGATGCAATGACTGTGGAAATACCTCGTAAGTGGGGCTCATCTCACACTAGACATCAGAGGAGCCATACTGGAGGGAAAAAGTATAAATACATTTGACAAAGGCTATAGTCATGAAAGGGAGCTCTGGTAGTGTAGTGCCTAAGGCTGGCAGTTCTAACCCACCAGCCACTCCTTGGAAGGAAGGTTGGGCAATCTACTTCCATAGTGATACTGCCTCGGAAACCCAAGGAGGGATTGCTATGAGTCAGGTCTGACTCTACAGCACATAACAACAACATAGTCATGAAAGCCTTAACAACTCATCAAAGAGTAACACTGGAGAGAATAATTACAAATAATACTGAGTGTAGGGAAGCCGTTAAGGTTCAAAACTCACAACACATTAGAGAATTCATACTGTGGAGAAAACTTAGAAATGTGAGTGTGGTAAGGCTTTTACCCAAAGATGAAATCTTGTGGAACTTAAGAAATTCATACTAGAGAGAAATCTTTCCAGTGTAATGTGGCATGGTAAACCTACATGGAGTTCAGTCCTCATTAAACATCAGTGAATTTATACCAGAATGAAATTATCTAAATGTAATGTATATGACAAGGTCACTATTCCAAATTAACTTGGAAATCATCTGAGAATTCATACTGGAGAGAAACTTTTCAAATGTAAATTGGTAATACATTTAACTAATTGTCTCTAGTCCTCAAAGAGTAATCAACCTGGAGTGTTAAGTTCTACACTGTAAGTAGAGATTAAAATCTATTAAAACTCATGAAATGATGTGCATCAGGGAGCCAAGGACATGTGGAAAAGTCCATTTCTCTTTCATTAATAAAGTTTTTATTCAATTCCTTGAGGTTTCTTGAAATGGCTGCATTACATTTCGTGACTTTCTATGTGAACTTTGAGATGTGTTGCTATAAGAATAACTTCAAATATAAAAACCAGCACAAAGCCAGTTTATATCAGGCAGAGGTCAAATATATAATAAATGTCCACAGTCTCCAATCTGCTGTACCACTCCATCTCTGACACTAGCTGCTCACCATCCTCTTCAGCACTCTTCTTGCCCCTGTTTGGGTTCAGTAACTTGCCGCAGTGTCTCATAGAGGTAGCAGTATGCAATGCAGTGAGTTACTTAATATGGCCCTTCTAGCCATAGTCCTCCATATTGTGATGTATTGTAAATCCTAGCTTCTATGCCTATGGTCATGGTCCCATTTTGGTGTGAGTTGTCTGTTAATGAGGCAGGATTAGGGTGGGATGTGTCTTGAGTCTCACCTTACTAGAGGATGTGACTCAAGTCTCCACCCTTAGTTTCCTTAAGGCATATATATATGAATGTTCTGGCAGAGTTTGCTCTTGCTGTGACTCGCATGTGGTTCATCATCATCTCACCTCTGCTTGGAGTTTGATACAGCAGCCAGCCATCTAACCGCCTAATTGGGTTCGTCAGCCTCTGAAACCATGTGAGTGAGAAGAATCCTCCAGACTGATGCCTGACCCCTGGTTTGGGTACTTGCCAGTCCCTACAACCATGTGAGCCATTTCCTTGGAAGTTCATGATGTCTGTGAGACATTACAGTGAAATATAGGACCCTAACATGGGAAGGAGAGTACTGAGGGGAGGAAGAGTTGATGCTAGAGGGATGGAGTGCTATAGCAGTTTGAAAACATTGGACATTTGGGACATCTTTAACCTCCACCTCGTAGGGACCAGCCTTGTGTTCATCATTTTGAAATAAATTATTCAGGCATGATAAAACTCGGGATCAGGAACTGTGTCAGCAGAGTCTAGACTTCCTTCACACTGAGAGCACATCCCTACCTTTTTAAGTGCGAGACAGCTCTCAGCTCCTCTACGGCATGCAAGCAAGCAGACCTGTTTCTCTGCCTTGTGTGCCCCCTTTCAGCCATGCAGGCCTCCTCTTGGCCCTACAGTCTGTCATCACTGATTGTTGCAGGGCCCCTTTTGGATCTGTTGCCACCAGCTCTCCACAGGGCCTCTTCCACACCTCTCACTGCCTTCAGTGGCACAGCTCTTAACCTGTGTTGACAGCTCTTTCAAAAGGTTTTGTGCCTCCTCTCTGCTCTCTTCTTGCCTGTTCTGTTTTGGGCCCCCCCCCCCCCCCCGTAAAACCTCTGTGGGGTTGGCGGTCTTTGTACAAAAGGTCCTTGTCAGTTTCAAGGCATGGCTCTCCCACCAGAGTCACAAATACAAACAGTTTCCTCTTGGGAGGCCACCAGAAATACCATTTGCATAGCAGGCTGTAGTCACTTCATTTGTGCAGTTCATTGACCAGTGCCTACAAGATGCAGACCAATCACAGGGCAGGCTGCAGACCTAACAAAAGGTATCAGACCATCAAGATGTTTACAACTTACCTAGGAAATACCAGTCAGCCTGGACAAAAGTAGCAAATCCTTTGGGTTAAAAACAAGGGCAAAGGGAACTTCTCAAGCCTTGGGGGTGGGACGGGGGATCTCTCAAGTTGTTTTTCTAAAGAAGGCAAAACGCCTAATAAAGGAATTCATGTCATCAGAGTTGTTACGAGGCCTTCATTACAGGCATTGCACATGTTACCATCGTGGTCTACAGGAAGCGATGAATGAGATGAAATGCTCTACATGATTACTTCTAATCCCTGGGCAACAAACAGTCAAGCACTTAACTATACCAGCCAAGAGGCTGACAGTTTAAACTAAGACTGACTCTTAACATGCATTCCACTGACAAATTTAGTTTGTGGGGGAGTGAAAAATAGATGCAAAACAATCTAAATCATGATTCAGAGGGTGACTGAGTTTTAGGAAAAGATTCATTTACCAAGTGACTGAAGCAGCACACAAGTACATTCAGGAACTGAGATTTTCATAGTAGATAAATAATAAATTCCAAGGGTCTGCTCATATAATAGAGAAAGTTGAAGGTGAATGATGGTCAGTTAAGAATGAATTTTTTTATCTCTAGTTTGGAAGAAGAGCCTGAGCAATTGAGCTAGCTTTTGTCTCTAAAGCATCCCAGCCACACCACATGGTCATGTTAATTGATGCATAAAAGGTGTTTGATAAAATCCAACACCCTTTCATGATAAAAAAAACTCAGTAATATAGGAATAGATGGAAAATTTCCCAAATGTGTATATGCAAAACCAATAGCAAAAATCAGTGAAGAAAGACTGAACACCTTGAGAATAAGACAAAGGTGCCCATTATCACCACTCTTGTTGAATATGGTACTGAAGTCCTAACCAGAGCAATAAGGCAAGAAAGAGAAATCAGAAAGGAAGAAGTAAAACTCTGGTGCAACGAATTACTTAGTATGGCCCTTCTAGCCATAGTCCTTGTAACTCCCACAAAATGATTGAGTGGGACTATGCAGATAAGGTGTTTGTAGCCCACCAGGGCTATTGGACAAGGAGCTCTCATGGTGCAGTGCCTATGGCATTTCACTGCTAACCAGAAGGTTGGTGGAATAAACCCACCAGCTGGTCCACAGAAGGAAGATGATCTTCCATAAAGATTTACTGCCTCAGAAATTCAGCGGAGGTCACTATGAGTCGGAATCAACTTGATGGCAGTGAGTTGTTTTGTTTTGTTTAAGGGTATGACAGCTTGCTAATAATGTGAATAAGCTGCAGGGAACCTTTGTGGGGATGGTACCATGCAAACAATATGTTTGGAACCCTAAAGATAGGATTGGTCATTTTTGCTATCCTGCTAGGCTTAAAATGAGCCATCTTAGAGGCAGAAAAAAAGGGACCCTCACTACCTACCAACAAGAAAGAAGAGATGGAAACAGTGGGTCCTTTGGGACTTGGATTTGATTCCCACAGTGAGACTCTCCAAGACCCAGCAGACAGGTGCAACAGCAGAGATGGCACAAGACAACAAGAAGTGTCAGAAACAGGAGCAGAACCAGGGCATGGGCTCAATTCAGACAGTGAGCTTCCTGGCCCTCAGAGCATGTGACTAAAGAGGGTGCCAACCGCAGAGCAAGAGAGCTGAGCATCTTCAGAAAGGAGGCTTCCTGGTGGAGTGGGGTGCTTCGGGGCATTCGTCAGTGGATGTCGGCTTGCATACACGTGGACCAAGAGAGTTGATTGCCTTTGAGCAGAGGCTTTCTGGTGGAATAGAGTGCCTCCAGGCACTTACTGGTGGAGCTAAAGAGCTTTGTAACACTTGCCCAAGCAGGGTAGAGGGTGGGCCAAGGGGCTGAAGGCCAGAGACAGGCCCACCTGTTGGCTAAGAAGAGGCTGTGCTGACTGAATAACTGCATCCTGAGTTGTAACCTGATACTTCCCTCATAAACCCCATAACTATAAGTATGGTTTGTGAGCTCTGTGTGGCCATTGAAACAAAGTATCAAACCCAGCAGAGAAGTAGAGAGTGTCATGGGAGGAGTGGCTTGTGTCATAATTGGTAAAAACGTTGGAGAGAGGAGATATGTCTGACCTCTGCTTCATAAGAATTAGCTTTGGAATGATGCTGATAATGATTATTTTCTCCACTTGTGATGTTAGATGAGGAAGTCAAATGATGTCATGCCATTTTTACACTATCTATTCACAGATGATATGACCCTATACATAGAAAACTGTAAAGATTCCACAATACAACAAGATCTAA